TCCGAGCTCCCGTCATAGAGGCCGAGCTGAGGTATTTGTATCCCCTTCGGGACGGCTTCTTGCAGGATATCGAGGGAGAGGGGCGAGGCGTTGTCCGCGACCCGAGGAGTCGGTCGCGTACGGATTTGTTGGTGAGCCGGGAGTGAGAACTCACTCCCGGTGGGCTGCCGATCCTCCAGCTCGGCAATTCTGCGTTTGAGGGCCGCGACTTCCTCAGTGTCGTGGCCGATGGCTTTGCCTCGTCTGATCACCTCCCGGAGATCGTGGTTGGCGTGGCTCTTGTCTCCCAAGCGTTGGTGGACAGAGCGACGAACGACCGGGAGGCTTCGCTCTGGCCGGCTCTCCCCCGTCTGCTCTGTGGGAGCCGGTCTGGTACTCTTGTCGCGACGGTTCTGAGCCTCGCGGTTCGGCGATTGAGCCGTGGTTTTGGATTTTGCTGGGTTTCTCTGTCCACCGGTCTCCTTTTCAGGAGTGTGGAGCAAAGTGTTGCCGGGGTTCTCCGTGGGCACCACAGTGTTCGCCCCGGCAGTTTGACCGGCGAGGGCCTTGGCGAAGACCCCCTCGAGGGCTTTGAGGACGTCGGGGTGCTGCAAAGCCGCAGCGAAAGTAGGAACTGGGGATACGGGGACGATAGGTCCCTGCTGAACGCGACGGGAGGACTCCTCGCCGTTGCAGCGGCGAGACTGGGAGCCGGACTGCTGGGTGGAGTCGTCATGTCCGGATGAAGGCATTTTGAAAGTGAAAAGGTGGAAAAGGATGAGTGCGATGTGTGTAGTTTTACAAGATCGAAAAATTGACACCAAGTAACTTATGGGGCCCTCCTTCTAGCGCCAAACTGTTGACGGACGTTTCCGGTCAACGGTTAAAAAGTCAAATGATGGAAAGAAAATGAGGAAAAGACAAAGAAATACGGTTTAATTACGGTTTTATTAACGGGTCACGAGGTCGGCCTCTCGTACGAGGTCGGCACTTGTGATATACTTATTGCTTACAAGAATTTCTTACAAGTTCTTTTTAGAGAGAGAAAATATGAGCTCTAGTAGTTGGGATTTCAACCACCCAAAAATAAATGAGGGGGTTGCTATTTATAGGAGACTTTAATGCGGCACTGTTTGGGTACTGTTCAGCGGTCTTATCGCACAGTAGCTCAACGGGACAAACCGGCGCTTCTCTGACTGATTGAGAGTGATTTCCGGATTCTCCAATCATTACCTGCCATACATTTAATGCGAGCGTGGGCTGCATTAAATGCGGACACGTTCTAGCTGAGCTGGACGTCCCATCGGCAATCATGCGTAGACAAGTGGCATTATTTTACTGTGTCCGACGTCATGCTTCTATCAGGAGCCGCCCTTGCGAGATTTGGAACAAGGTGCCGACCTCGTAGCCACATGGATTCGGTGCCGATCTCGGGACTTGTTCCCCCTGCCATTCCAGACAACTTTGACTCTCATTCAGATCGGCACCCACGTGCGGTTTTGGTGACCGGCTCCTTCGGCTCGGACCGGTACCTACGTTGGGTCCGACTCGGATATCAACAATTTATTTTTTCCTTATGTAATATAATAGAATTTCGGTATTAAATTTGTAAATTCAAACATTTAAAGGAAAAGATTCCAAACAATTTTTTTTGGGTAAATTTCATTTTATCTTGGTTTTCAATATCACATTTCTAACAAACTAATTAGTATTATATTTTTTTATCTGCATTATCTAACCGATTTTTTATGATACAATTAATATAATATCTTAACAAATTAATCATTTGTCTACCCGGATTTATCTCTCTAACAAACTTGCCAATTTTTTTTAAAATTAAAATGGTATGATTATTCTTATGGAGATACTTATCAATATATTAAATATTTAGAAACTTTTTTAAAAAAATGAGTTATCCCTCCTTTTACTTTATTTGAAATTCTGACTTATATTTTTAAATATATTATTATTTATTTTTTTACATGTAAATATTTATTATTTATTATCTAAGTGATAAATATTGTTGATTTATTCCTTTAATAATATTTATTATTTATTTTTTTCCTTACGTGATATGATGTAAATTTGGTTACTAGATTTTTAAATTCAAACATTTAGGAAAAAACCACGAACAAATTTTTTGGTTACATTTCATTTTATTTTAACTTTCATATAATCACAATCCTAACAAACTAATTAGTATAATATTTTTTTACCCATTTTTATATAATCGGATTTCTTAAAATATAATTAATATAAAATTTTAACTATTTAATCATTTGTATAACTTGATTTAACTGATTATCAAACGTGCCAATTTTTTTTTTAAATTAAAAAAAAAATTGGAAGATTTTTATTTGTAAAATAATAAAAAATAGCTTTACTTTAAAGTCTGGATTATTTCCATTATTTTTTGTACTTAACAATCATATATTTTTGGATTATTGATTTAAAAAAACAAATCAAAACCGTGAGGTTTAATAATATTCCTTAAATAAAAAATATTGTATAAAGAAAAGTACTTAATATTATATATTTTTCATTGATTGTATTTATTTTATTTTCATAATAGACGAGATGTGAAAAATATAAATAATTATATTTAAAATAAAGTCTAAAAAATGTTTAAAATATGAACTCTTCCGTGCATCGCACGGGATATACACTAGTTAGTAATTAGACATAAGAGTGAATTAATGTTTTGTAAGGGAAAAAAATTCTTGTTACGATAGTTTTTTAGAAAAACTGTATAGACCACGACTTATCGACTTAAAAAACATAAAATCTGTTACAATAGATAGACCATGACTTAATATTTATGCGATGCGATGGGATTCTGTTTACTATAGGACTTTTTATGCGAGTATGCAAAAGATTTTTTAAACTTACGGCATTCATTATTCGAGGAGATTATATGTGATAAATCTAAATTTGTATAACCTTTTTTTTTTATATATTTTGATTATTAAATCAATAATATATTTTTATTATAAAATAATAGCCAACGTTCAGAACAATAGTATTAGCTGATTTGATGTTAAAAAAGTTTTTGATTTTTGAGCAATCAAGACATTACTGCCAGATTTAGTGGTAAAAGAAAATTTCAAAATAAATAATATTTTTTTATTTTGATTATTAAATAAGCTATAATTTATTTTTATTAAAAAATAAAATCGGACATTTAAAATAATTGGATTAGCCGATTTGATGTTAAAAAGTTTTCCATTTTTTGAGCAATCAAAACATAATTGGCAGATTTAATGGTTAGAAAAATAAAATCAAAATAACTAAACAAAATAATTTTTTTTATACTTTTGCATATTAAATTAGCCGTATTTTTTATTAAAAAATAAAGGCCGACATTTAAGTCAATTGTATTAGCCGATTTGATGTTAAAAGTTTCCGAATTTTCAAAATACTAAAGTAAATTTTTATTATTAAATTAGCCATAAATTCTTTTTTATCTAGAAAAAAACTGTAATTGTGATACATGATTTTTCTTTAAAATTTTTTATGTTGATTTCGTGAAATTTTAAAAGCAACAGCCCCATCTTATGCATAAAAATTAACAAACAGCACCTCTTTAGGCCAACATTAATGCGGGGCTGTTTTGAAGTAAAATAATAATAATAAAAAGAAATTCCTATTAATAGCATGTAATTAATGTTGTATGTGTTTGACCAGAAGTTGACCTGCCATTTTTGGAAAATAGTAATTCTTATTATATATAGATTGATTGATACCAAAAGAATCACCTAAGAATCTTAACCCTACGCTTCGAAATTATACTTTTCATGCAAGAACAAATGTTGTTCATGCATGAATTTTTTTCATATAAATTTATGCCACGTATATCCCAACAATCCATTTCGTTTCAAAGTATCATATACTCACATCATAAAGAACTCCATACTTTTTTTTTTAACTCTCGACCGATTATATGTCTTGATTCTATATAATTAATATAATACTTATCCGGACAAGACAAGAATTTTTCATCTTATGATAAAAAGAAGAATATGTTCAATATTTATGATCCTCCCACCTTCATATTTGCATATACTTATTCTCCATCTCTATTATCATAAGGTCATGTGAGTCCAAACTCTATATATGTATAGCGAGCTCAAAGAAGAACTTGCATGGCAACAAGCAGCATAAATTTTGTGATGGGCCCGGCCCGGCCCAACATGTTTTCATGTATGGGTCATTGCATGAAGAGGTACAGAGTGGAATGTAGCCAAGGATGATTTGCCGGCAAAATAATGATGCGCAAAATCCTAACGTATACTTTCGTTGCAGCAAGTTATTCTTGGCTATGTTCGGCTCTCTTCTTTTTTATGTAAGACGACAAACATACATGCATTATACGCCGGGAATTCGGACAAAAGGAACTAGGGTTCCTGAAAATTTTGAAAGATCATTATTCCAATTTTTGCAGCTGATGTTGGCAACATTTGAGTAAGTTATTTGAGTGAGGATGCTAGTTAGTTGAGGCCTTGGTTAGTTAGTAGGGTTAGGGCAACATTTGGTTATATTGAAAGAATGCAAATTTAGTCGAACAAGTTTTGCCGTTCTTGTTTCCTATCGTTCATTAACTTTTTTGGGTTGTTATATTAGAACTTCAATTCGATGAAGACCTGCAAAATAGGTATCCATAGGCTCCCATCAAAGCTTATGCCAACATAGTAAACATATATGACATAAATTTTGAGATTGTGAATGAAATGTATCCATAGTCTGTCTCCTTAATGGAATTTTGTTTCAGTAGTTATTAGAAATGTATTCGCAATGTATGACATTGGTTGGGCTCATCACCTCCCCGTAAACAGTCCATACTACTGTTGAGGCCCAGGCCCATCATGATAATTTTTTGTTGTTGTCTGTTGAGGCCCAGGCCCATCTTGATAATAAATAGAGAAGAATACCAAAAGAGAAAATAAAAGAAAAATAGATATATTAATCAGGTAAAAAGCGTAAATAAAACGAATAAGAAGGGCATAAAAGTCATTCGGTTGCTTCAAAACCCTACTCATCTTTCCCTTTTTATCACACTACCTCACACTTGCAGCCCTTCTCAGTCTCAAGCTCTCAGGCAAATCAGCAACGCCGCAGATCGAAAAAATCACCGGAGAAATGGGAGTGTTCACTTTCGTGTGCAGAAGCTCCGGCGAAGACTGGACGGCTAAGCAGCTCAACGGCGAGCTGGAGGCTTCTGCGGGCTCCACCTTCGAGCTCCAGCGCAAGCTCGTCCAGGCGGCTCTCTCCTCAGACTCAGCCGGCGCCGTCCAGTCTTCCTTCTCTCATGTCACCCCTTCGTCCGGCGTGTTTCAGGTTTTTTCTTTATCCAAATCGCATTTTTTTATTGGGTTTCGTTGGTAATTTCTGATGTGATTGATTGTTAGTTTATCCAAATAATATCGTTTCTTGGTTGTGGTGAGACTCTTAATTTGATTTATGGATATTTTGGAAGGGATGAGGGGTGATTATCAAGGTTTGATTTGGGTGTGAGACGATGTGATTAATTGTTTGGTTATCCAAAATAATATTGTTGTTGTTTGTGGTGAAAACATTTGATTTGATTTATAGATGTTTAGGAAGGAATGATGGGTGATTATCAAGGTTTGATTTGGGTATGAGATACAAATGTTGTGATACGTTTATTAGATCTAGAAATAATGAAAAAGATGCGGAATTGGTGGATGGTAATGAGTAGATTGGGCATTTTTCCCAATAAATTCCCATAAACGATCTCATGCTTGGGATGGAAGCTTTATTTTTGGGCTGAATAATATGGTGATTTACTTTATGGCAGTTTCTACCTTGTGTTTTTTGGTTGTGTTCGGATATTTGTCTTGCAAATTTTGTATGCAATTACATGTTTGAGATCTAAACTTCCATCTTAGCAGAAAACTATGGTGATTTATGTAACACATTTGCTGCCTAATGTGTTTTGTTTTGGTCGGACAATATGTTCTGCTGAGCGATAGAAAGAAAGAAATATGCAGTTCTTATATTGTAGGCCGTAATCGAGGTTTATTTTCTCAAGCTTGTTGCAAGTAACTGATTACTTTTGCAAGTGTTTGCAAATGCACCCTAATTCCTATTATGATTTTCTTCTTCATCCTTGTGACCTCTTCATTCAGCTATCACAGCGTGTTTTACTATTGGCTCACATAATTCTAATATATATGACCTATGCAGGTGATCATCGGCGGCTCTGGTGGCGGTGGCTTTATCGGAGGCGGCGGTGCAGCTGCTCCGGCGGCCTCCGGCGGTGGTGCGGCGGCTGAAGCACCTCCGGCCGAGGAGAAGAAGGAAGAAAAGGAAGAGAGTGATGATGACATGGGATTCTCACTTTTCGATTAGGTTTTTTTGTCACTTGTTGAGTTTTGTAGTCTTGGTTTCCGAATGTTGTTACCTTGGTGAAAACTTTAAGGGTTTGATATAATTACTGAGTTGTCGGTTGAGTTCTTGATTTGTGATCAAACAAACTGCATTTTGTCTTCCCTAGTGTATGAACGCTGTGTTTGAACTTTCTAGAAGGATTCTGTGTGTTTCTCTTTTTTCTGTCCAAGAATGAGCTGAACTACAACTTTGGACCATAGAGCTAATTTATTGGCTCGGCTTAATAAAGGCTTTAGCCGAGCTCGAATATTGGGAGTTCAAAGCTTTAGCCGAGCTTGAATATCGGGAGTTCGAAAAGAGCTACGTTTATAGTTATCAGAGGTCATAAAGTTAAATAAATGACATAAACATGCATTTCATGTTTATATTTAAGAAAAAATGCTTATAAATTGTCATGTTCCATTTATAGTAGAAAAAAATTGCATTATTATAATTGAGCTGAAATCAAAGCATTTAAAATAATCCATATCCATAAAATTTCGCGGCAAAATTATTTATGAGTTGGAGTAGGTGAAGTTTTTTAAATCTCATTTATGCTTTTGTGAAATAATGATATATAAATTAAGAAATCATGTTCATGCTCTACATAATAGCATAAGCAATCAATAAATATCAATGTTATCAAAACCAGACCGGACCGGCCGGTTCGACCGGGAACTGGACCTAGTACCGGTCCGGTTTGAGTGTTTAAACCGCTGGGAACAAGAACCGGTTTCGAACCGGTTCTGAAATTTGAAAAAAAAAAATCTTAATGAAATAAAAAAAAAAAATCAAACAAAAGGAAAAGAGTGAGAGAGTGTTTTGATGTTTGATGAATTGTAATGTTAGATTGGATATATTTTGATGTTTGATGACTTTGTAGTTTGTATTTGTAATTTGGATTACCTTGCTTTAGATATTGAATTATTAATCTATTGTTTTAGTGAACTTAATTTAGTATTGCTTATGGTAAACTATACTTAAAATATTAATTTATCAACTCTTATTTAGAAAAATATCATTATATGCTAATAAAATCAATGATAAAAAGTATATATATATATATATAATATATATATATATAATTATATATTATACATATAAAATAAATAAATAAATTGTATATTAGTTAAACCAGTTCGACCGGTTCGACCACTGGTCCGACCAGTGAACCATTGAACCAGTAGCTTCACCGGTTCGATGACCGGTCCGGTTTTGATAACATTGATAAATATACATAGCATAACAATATAAAAAGAATTAAAATATTTCACCATGGCATAAATTTGAATTTTGTTATACAAGGGACGATGGTTAGATAATTTCAAACATAATTTTGTGCGTTTGGCTTCCAAAATTTGTAAAATTAAGTTTGGAGTATAATATAATCTTAGAGCCTCCCCAGTGCTGCGCTATATCAAGGGAGAACACTAGAGTGGCGCAGAAAAACACTCAAGCTCTGGGCTAGTTTCTTGCGCTACAATAGATAAGTGAACAATGTTGTGCCAGATGTGGCGCAACACTGTAGAAGCGCTACATTTTCTTTAATGTAATATTAATGATAATGTTTTGTATAATGTATATAGTAAATGCATGTTTATGTTAAATAATTTTGTACAATATATGTTAATGCTAAATAATTTTGTACTTTTCATTTATTGATGTATTATAATTTATTTTGTAATTTTTTAATATTAAAATGGTACCATATGAATAAAAAATTAACACAATGAAACAAGTAGTTTTGATTAAAATCAAAGTTTGACAATACACATAAATCTGAAATACACAAATAAAAACAACATGATATTAAAATCAAAAGATTACTACACACATAAATCACAAGATACACAAATAAAAATAACATAATTATAGATAAAATATTCATATAGATAATTAACGATAAAAATAAAAATATTCTATTGTTTGAACTTATGAAGCAGTTTCGTGTTGTTATACATAAATATTTTTTTTTTGTTATTTGGGTAATAAACATTTATATAAGATTAAATATTCATATATATACGAATTTATTTAAATAAAAATAAATAAAATATATTTTTACTATTTGGGTAACAAACATTTTTGATAAAATTAAATATACATATATATACCAATTCATTTAAATTAAAAATAAATAAAATTTATTTTTATTATTTAGGTAATAAATATTTATATGAGATTAAATATACATATATATATTAATTTATTTGAAATAGAAATGAATAAAAAATAATATATTTGATGTAGAGTAAAATATAAAGATAAAGGTTGGAGACGAATATTTCACCCTACTTTAGGGTAGAGTAAAGTCCGCACTGCCAGTCCATTGGAAAAGGCCAGAAAAAATTAAAGAAAATTTATTTTGCCGAAAGGACTCAAAACATAGGCAAATTGCAATAAGGCCTCATTTAGGGTTTAACAGACACTGATCAGTCAGTTTTTGCCATGTCCCATGAATTCAATCCAATATCAAGGAAGAAAAAAAAAAGAAAAAAAAGTATTTTCTTCTCTGTAAATTATGTGGGAAGCCATGGAAGATGGCAGAGGGGAGAGCGAGAGACTAACACTTGTGGCAAGAAAGCCCTGTTTTGGGCTGCCCACCGCTTGCCCGAGATGTTTGCCCGTTTACATTTATCTTAAATTCTCCAAGAGCCCATTTGATTTGGAGTTCAATGGCGTTCACCCTGATTCTGGTATGTTTTTAGGATTTTTCTCGTTCTCTCTAGCTGTGTTTGATTCAATTGGTGAAACTGGTCTTCATAAGCATTTTGGTGAAATCAAGATTAGTGCTTGATGGTGTGTCAGAGTTTAATATGTGCCCTTGGTCGAAAATAGGTTACTAGAAGCCAAGCCCTTTTCCCGTCACGGTTATTTTGGAGTAAAAACATATGGATTATGGCCTGTGATGAGCTTTTGATTTGAAGATAATCACCTGAGTTTGAAGCTCTGAGAGTGGAGTTGGTTTGAATGTGAGCCTTGCTTGCTTGTTATGATCCTCCTAAACTTACTGTATCGTTTGTGCGTAGACTTGGATTAGAATTGTATATAGACCAACTGTTTAATTAACAAACTATGCTGGACTTACAGGATGTGATGTAAAATTAAAATTCTTGATGAATTGAACTTGATGCCGTAAGGTTTCTATGAGGGTTGCTATGGATTTCGAATTAGGTATTGAATTTGAACAGTTGATGTGGCATTTGTATGTCGTATGGAAATAATTTATTTTAGCATGATGATAGATGGAATTTTACATGCATAGAACGAGACGAGGATTTTACTATCCTAGCCAATTAACATAGTATGTCTTAATGATGAGCTCTCAAAATGTCTTCTAATTCCCTCTGTTTTCTTCTATTTGTATATCATTTTTTTTTTCTCCTTTCATTTCTTTTTACAAGTTACAACTCTCTGCACCTGCAAATGGCACATGTGGCCTTTTACTTTCAAGGTTCGCCATAAAGGCCCCTTTTATGTGGTTCAGTAGTTTCGGGGTACGGTGGCCACATGACTTTTTCTAAAGACCTGTCTCATCATTTTGCAACTGCACTCGGATAATAGTTTCCAGAAAGGCAGCATTATCAAGTTGGCTATCAGCTTATGAGATAAAATAGTTTAATGCATTGCAGTTATCATAATGAGAACACAAAATTGGTGGGAATCTACTGCAATCTGTTTCTGCCTTATTTAAGAGGAAATCATGTGTGCTGCATAATGAACATTGTAATGGTCACTCTTTGATCGTCGATGTTACAATCTGTCAGCAAATGTGAGGGATTAAAATTCGATCATGGCATGAGAAACATCATTAATTATCTTTCATCACCAATAAAGTTTGAGAGTCAGTCTGGTTCTGTGGTCAGAAATGCATTTACTTTTTTTTTTGGGTGTTTGTGTGTGTGAGTTGTGGCTTTTGGAGGGATATTCATTTGTGTTAGTCGGTGAATTACCTTATATTAGGATATTTGGAAAGCACTAGGTTGTAGTCTTTATAGATGCCTTGTTTTAATTTTTGTTGTCATATAATATTTTGATTTGTCTACTCATGAATTGAAACTGTAAAATCGTGTTCTCTTTAGTCCTCATTATTATCTTTATTATTATTTCTTAAGACAGAAGTATACTTTTGATATCCGAAGTTTTACTATGGAGATTCATTGTAATTCAACCAGATCAAATACCGTTTGTTGAATCTGGCGATTATGTGGCCTATGATAACGAGAAAGGTGGAGTCATTCAGAAATTGAAGGAAGATGGAATTCTTGATTTGGACTGTGGAGCCAACGGAATAGCCGAATGGGTATCTGTAAAGGCGCTGATTGAGTCGTGGCTTGCAGATGCAGCCATGTATGAGCTCTGGTTGGGGTCTGACGGTAAGTCGGCCCATAAGATTTATTATTCTGACCTCCCTTGGCCGATTGGGAAAATTCTGTACCAGAAGCAAGTTCGTGTGGTGAAACAATTACTTAGGATCACGTCAGAAAATGCTGAAAGAAGGGAAGAAGAGGTGACTTCCTTTCATATTTGTTTATCATCTATTTTGTGTCCTATTTATTTATTTAGTATGCGTGCATGATAGAGGAAAATTACTTTTTTTGTGAGCTTGTTTCAAATATCTCATTTTTTGGCAATGGTTGCAGGACCATACCTTACTCTATGATATTTAGACGAGCATCAGCCGAGCGTGTTTGTTTACAAATAAATCCGTTCAGAATGAGTTTTTTCGATTAACTATGGTTAATTGTGAAAAAGTTGGATGGTTAATAAGTATTAGTGAGATTTTGATTTTGTATTAAAATTATATTTAAAATAAAATAATTAAAGTTGATTCAATGTAAAAGTAAGAGAGATGATGTGAAGTAGTAGTTAGTTAAAACTAGTATTTGATCATGCACCATGGAAACAAAAATTTATATATTATATGTACGTATAAATATTTAAAATTTTCAATTAGATAAAGTGTGTATTACATTTTATTGGCTATATGTAAATGTATAATATAAATATAAATTGTTTAACTTCCATATAAATCATTTTTTTTTGTTATTGTATAATTATAATACAAAATAGGAATATTAGTAATAATTAGAAGTGATGATTTGTATAGATTATATGAGTGGATGAATAGTGAGTTAAAGTTGATGTGATGTGTAAGAATGATTGGTTTGCATTATTTAATTATATTGATAATATTGAGGATAGTGATGTTGGGTTAGTTAAATTTTGAGTAATTGAATATGAATTGAAAATATTTGTAAGTAAACACACCCGCGCATTATGCTTTCAAAAATGAAAAACCCGTGTTATAAAGCACCTCATTTCAACATATATAAAAGCTTATTATGTTGTTTTTTGTGCAGATATACAGCAGAGCAGACCAGGCTTATGGTGCATTATCATCATTGTTAGGAGAACAATCGTTTTTCTTTGAAAGCAGGTGTTTAAGTGTGCTCCATAGCATGTTGACTTTGTTTTGCTATTTATTATAAAAAATTTTCATTTTTTGGATTGGTATAGCATGTTGACTGTACGACTTATTTAAATGCAAATGCAGGCCTACGAGTTTGGATGCAGCTCTTCTTGGGCATGCTCTGTTTACACTTCATGCTTTACCTGTGAGTACATTTAATAGTAATTCTCCATTTGTAATTTTTAATGGTCAATCTTTTAATCGAGTTCTCTTGTTCTTTATATATCTTTACATTGTGGTGTGGCTGTGTCTCATGCATGGGACTTAATTTTTTATTTCCATTTTTGGGGGGCCGCCATAGCCATGGTCAATAATGTGGTGTCACATCTCTTTAGTATATAACGAACAATATGTATTTGGCAAATTTTAGTCAATAACTTAAATCGATTAAATTTATGGCCCAAGCCTCATTATGCACACGCACACCAGTGTTTTAGAAGTCGCTAGGCGCCCGACCAGCACCTTGCGCCTAGGCGGGGCCTAGAAATTAATATTAAATATCTTATTTTTTGTTTATTTATTTTCACTTCCTAAATATATTCTTATAAAAATTGAAAACATGATAGAAATTAGCAATCCTCATTAGCAACTCACATGACAACAAGTTAGTAATAATGTAATATTGTACTAACCACAATATAAAAAAACAAACTCCAAGTCTAAAACAAACTCAAAACAAATTTCAAGTCTAAATAAATATTAAATAGTAAATACATAAACATTACTAAGTAGTAAGTACATAAATAACATAACCACAATCTTAAAAGAAACTCCACGTTCAAAACATACTCCAAGTATCAAAGATTCAAAACAACCCACATGACCAAATGTCCAAAACACAATTAAGAAACAAGAAGCAATAGCCAATATCTAAGAAATATCAAACATAGCCAAGCACAAGAAGATCTTCTTCTTCTCCATAATTCTCCAATACACGCTCTTTATCCGACTCAAATTCAATGTCATTCTCATTAACTTGATCCTCCTCCTCGGATTCAAAATCTTCTTCCTCAAGCTCTCTCACTCTTGACGTGTCATGCTCAACTTCAAGTCCATTAACATCTTCATCTTCATCGTCAACTAATCCCAGAATAATCCACTCTTGAGCTTTACTTGCCTCACTAGCAAGTAACACATCCTTTTCTTTCCTCCATTCGCGCTTGTTCAATAAACGGGAATTGAATTGCACATAGACTAGATTGTTCAAGCGCGAAACATCAAGCCGGTTTCTTTTTTTTTGTATGTATCTAAGAAATAAATAAAATCACATTTTATAATATAAGTATGAAATAAAAATAATAACAATGAAAAGACTTAACAAAACAATTAAAACATAGTATATCCAACTAACCCCTTTGAATGTACTCCAATTTCTTTCACATCCGGACGAGCTCGTGGTTAATGACAAGATTCTTATGGCAAATCTTTGCAAATTAGGCGTTCCACATCCATAATTTAACCACCAAGTAGCTTTGCATGAAAAAAAAAAGAGAAATTAATATGAAAACATAATCATTGTGTAGCCATTTAAAGTTTTAAACTTAAAAAAAAAAGCATAAGACTAATAAAAATTAAAAAAAAAAATATTTTTTCAAGACATCACATAAGAGGCAAGGCAAGACATAAATATATAAATATAATATATTTATATATTTACCGGGATCAAACTTCTCGTCGTTCACTTCACAACCTTTTGTGGCAATTGGCTTCCCAAAGACTCCTCCCTTTGTCTTATAAATGGGCAACTCAACGTTCATGATTTTATCCATCAAATCAAAGTTACCATGACAAATGACATCAAGACAATCAAGAACTCCATTCGAAACAACTTGATCTAGTATGCGATTCGGGTCCTTATAATGATAATAAGGATTTAGTAGATATGCCATCAAGTGCAACGGGGTGTCCAATCTACCTTTCATCTTCGTGTCAATGATTTCTAAGATGGGATCATAGTTCTTGGCAAGATTGTTCAAGACACTTTTTATATCCTCTTTGGCATGCATAAGCTCCCCATACAAAAATCCCATCGACGGCTTCTTATCGGCATCCGCTATACGAAGCACCTTCACCAAAGGAGCAAAAATAGTCAAGAAAGAAGTCACAACATTCAAAAAACCAATAGACATCACGGTATTGTAACTTGCTTTCCCTTTCACCGTCTTGGACCATTTGCACTCATCCCACTCGGAGCTAGTAAACATTACCCTTAATTGTGTCTTTTTTTCCATCAAGCTTTGCAAGCTAAGAAATGAAGAGGCGAATCGTGTGTGTGACTCCGGGTCTTACTATGTCCCTCCTTTTAGTGTAAAACCTCATCATGGATAAGGTCTTATGATGTGCATAAATGAATATAGTCAATGCCTTTGCTTGTTCAATGGTTTTGGTGAACCGGGGTAGTTTTGCAATGCCCTCCAAGATAAGATTGATGGTGTGTGCGGCACATGAAGTCCAAAAGATTGTTGGCCTCTTTGTGCGCAATAACTTCGCCGCTCCCATATTATTTGAAGCATTGTCCGTCACAACTTGAACAACATTCTCGTGCCCAACTTGCTTAATGCATTGATCCACATACTCAAAAATCATTTCACTTGTGTGAGATATTTCGGAAGATTCCTTGGAAGATAGAAACATTGTTCCAATTTTAGAAATCACACACAAATTCATGATGCTTCTTCTTTTCTCACTCCAAGCATCCGTCATAATCGAGCAACCACTCTTCTTCCATTCAGGTCACCTTGAGTTTGGTTCTTTCAACCGCTTTCTTCAACAATGACTCTCTCATCTCATATGAACTAGGAGGCTTCCACCTCGGCGCAAATCGACCGAGCTCTTCGGTAAAGAGCCGAAAGCTATCAAGCTCAAATACATTGAAAGATATGCCCCCTTCATGAGCCCAATCGACTAAATAATCTTTCACCAAGTTGGATCGTTCTTTCCAAATAGCATCATTAATGTTTTGTTCCCGCATCGTCTTTGCCACGTTCAATGATGCTTCCGGGTTGATTGTTGTAGCAAATCTATCCATTAGGCCAAGAGAGTGAGATTCTTTTGCTTTTTCCCATTGTTGAAAGGACTCAATATTCAACCCTTTAATGTTAGCTGAAGATAGCAACTCTTCTTGAAGTTCGTTTGTCTTCATCTTCTTAGCTTTGGACTCATTGATGGCATTTCTACATTTAGCTTGATCTTCTTTTGTTGCTTTTCTACATGAAACAACATTCCCGGAAATTTGGCCAATATGCTCTTTCAATCTACGTATACCACCCGGCATAACTTTACTACATAACAAGCATTTCAACTTATCTTTGTTATATGGATCGGCTAGAACACCATAGTTCCAACCTATGTCATCCGACTTTCTTTTAAATAATTGAGAATCATTCTCGGCCTCGGTGGACGTCCGGGAATCACACGGAGTACTTTTTGATGCCGAACTACTAGCCATTGAAAAAACCTAACAAAAAAATAATGAATAATATTAATACATCAACAACATTGTTGCAAAAAACACAATATACATGAATGTATATTATTTTTTTTTTCAATTTTCGAATGTTACATACTTGAGCTTTTACTAAGTTATCTCTTTGGAATTTCATCGAACACATTGTCTACATCCTTAGGGTATAATCATTACACACCACAATGGTATTATAGCTAACCAACCAACACCATATTTTATCAACTTCACATAAAAAGATTCCAATAAATTTAGAAATCCTAAAATTAACAAAACCTAATTACAATTTACAACCAAGTGAACCAAGTCAAATGTCCAAAAATTACATAGAAGAAGAAATTTTAAAATACTTGAGGGAGTCTCGAGAGTCCACGTCGGTGAGTCAGGCGGCGGCGAGTCAGTTCGGAGGGCGCGTCGAGGAGGGCCGCGTTCTGTGAGTCGGTGACTTCTCTGTCCGAGGCTCCGAGCGAGAAGAAGTGAAGAACTTTTGAGTTCTGTCTTCTGTGATGGTGAGAAGTCGTGTTTTACCGGTTTT